GTGATTAAGTGAGATAGTGCATGGGGAAATTCTATTGTTATTCCCAAAGCACCTGACCATGTCCTCCATTGTCCCCAAACTGCAGAGACATGCTGAAGGACAACTTCAGAGACATGTTAATCAGCACACAGTGATAGTAACAGCTTTCAGTTATTGAAAGCTTGCTGTGAACAAAGCACACAACCTAAACCTTTGCTTATCTAATCTTTACACAGTCCTCTAAAGTAACTCCTTTATTATCCTTATTTTATAGATGAATAATTTGAGGCTTAGAGAGGTATGCAGCCACATGAGAGGCTTGCAAGAAGTAATTATTAACATTTGTTGAGCTCTTACTCTGATCAAGGCACCGAGCTAAGTACTTCATACACATTAACTCATTTGATCCTCTCCGCAGCCCCTTTTCACAGACAGGGAAGCTGAGGTTAAGCACATTGCATGCTCAGAAAGGACTTAATGGAGTCAACAGGATGGCAAGAAATGAGAATTGATTACTGAAGATGAAAATAGGCCTGAGGATCTGAAAGTTCTTGAAAGGAAGGAAGATTTTCAGTTTTTATCAGTCGCCCAAGTCACATAAGAACAGGCTCAGCATTTGAACCCAATGACCAATCCTGGTCTCCTGTCCATTTCACTCCGAGTCTCCTCCTAAGATGCCCTAAACTAATAGTTTTGGAGCAAGGTGGGTGGAGTTTGGCTGCTCTCGGGGGATCTACGTCACACTCAATTTCTCCACTTCGCTGCCACTTGTGTCTATGAGTATAGAGAGAACTCATCCAATTTTCCCATCCCCAGGTGGCTCTGTGCTGCCCTCAGGCAGGTGAAGACCATCCCAGAGCCTGTAAATCTGTTAAAATGGCACGTGTCTTTGCTATCCCTTCCTTCGTCTGGTGTCTGGGAGCTATCCAGCTTACACCATTCACAGGTCTCTCTGCCACCAGAAACAAGATAATCAATCATGGGTCCCCTTAAAATCCCTTAAAAGGCCCTGACACACAAGGCCTTGCACCCTTCTGTTTATAATATTGAGTTCTGTCATTAGGGTCTCTGACACTGGCAGTGGGGGCTCACTCAGAGCAGGTGCTGGTCCACCCCTGAAATATCAGATTATTTCCATGGTTATTTTCAGCTCTGGTTTCCCAGCAGTTCTGCAGTTGCCTGGAAAGATGACCCGCAGTAGTCTGTGTGGGGTCCTGAAGGCTGTGTGAGTTTCTTTCCCTGGAAGAGGGGAAAGGATCCTCTTTGAGCTACTGCCAGGAGACCTTCCTCCATGGCATGGGGACATATCCCCCTCAAGGGTCCACCAGGCCCTGAAAAACCCTTAGCAGCCTGTTAGTTTGCCCTGCTCAGTTCTCTGCCCATCCATCAGCCTGTCATCTCTTCTGTCACTGTGAAAACACACTTAGCATCTGTTCATGAAACCCAAATAATTCAGGACCAAGAGGAGTCTATGAAATTCTCTTTGGAATGCCTGCTTCCCTGATTTTCCATCTACTGCAAAGGGAGCCCATAGAATCAAGAACAATGCATCTCAAGGCTGCAAGAGCCTTAGAGGTACCTTTTATAGTAATGGTGTATTTGTTAATAATGGCAGTAGACATTCAGGACTTTCCCCAGTGTTTTATGAGGGTTAGTTAATCTTCACAGAGGCCCTAGCAATTAGGTGCTATTGTTTCTATTCTGAGGAAACCAAGGTGCCAAGGGCCAACTAACTTACCCAGGATCATTTGCACAGGTGGTAAGTTGCAAAACTCCAGAGACATAATCTGAATTGTCAGGAGAGACTGCGGTTCTAGAGAATGTTCCAGAAGGCCAAAGAGAAGAAGTCAGGTGCCCTGGTCACCAGCTATTCAGCAAAGCGGGACACTCTCATCTCTTAACTTTGGGAATATGCAAGAAATGTAATCTTAAAGAATTAGAGTTTAAATGAGAATTTGTTTCATTGGAGGGATCTGTGCCACAAGCCAGGTGCTGGGTACTTGGTCAGACATACTCCTCACAAAAGCTCTACGTGGCCACGGTTGGCATTCTCATCGTGCAGGTGTGAAAAATCAGATGTGAAAGTAGATCAGTAGGCCATAGAGTTGATGAAAGATAGCCACAGCTCACGAAGATGATCATAAATACAGTATTTGTGCTAATTACATCCTGTCTTTTCCCCAGATGGCAATAAAATAGTCACTGAGTGCTTACTATTAGTCTTTGATTCTCACAACAGGCCTAACGGGCAAATATTATTATCCTTATTTTTCAAATGAGGAAACGTATGCTTATAAATATTGAGTGTATTACCCAAGGAAACTTCGGAAGCAGCACAGTGAAGATTCAAATTGAAATAGGTCTGATTCCAAAGTTGGAGATCTTCCAACCACTTTACTACAGGGACACACATGTCTGCTTTCCATGTCTCACATTCTGTGGGTTAGGATGAAGAAAGGGGTCAGATCTGTGGGTGGGCAAGACAACCCTACATTATACTGCCCTCACAGGGATTCCAAATCCAGGCCTCTCTGTCCCCAAACTCCTTTCCTATCTTAGAACACAGCCAACCTTCCGACAATATGCCCAAGTAACAATGTAGGTTTTTGTTGTTTTTTTTTTCAAACCCACTCAATTCACTGAAGAAATCTGTCTTTTCCTAGCCACCAAGCCCTGGTCCTAGGACCCCTAGATTTGTCTATACCCATAGACAAGGAAATGGAGAGGATACAAAGGACACTCTAAACGGGCTTGTGAGCAGGATGGAGTAGCTGTGAGGACAGAGTAGAAATTCTGGAAGTCACAGAATCAGGAAAAGAAAGCTCCAGTAGGAGTAGCAAATGAGGAGGGAGAGAGTGGAAGAGGGGGATGGAGGGGTGAGAGAGTTCAGCAAAGCCTGCCTTATGCCTGCACCAGGGCTCTCAGACTTACCGGGAAGCCATCTGCACTTTGGCCATGTTATTTTGATAGCCCTGAACTCAGATGGTAAAAGTTCAAATAAATATGTTCATTGTTTTAAGGATGATTCTAAGGACATCATCATCCATTTAGGGAAATCTTTCTACAGTACATAGGAATTTCTTTAATGAATGAAATTGGCCAAATTATGCCATGTACACATATGAATATACCACACAATGAATTTCACCTTTAAGAGGAATGGGGGGGGGGAGTACTGGGGACTGAAATGGAGCAAATTATTTTCCACATATGTATGAACTTGTCACAATGAACCCCAATATTATGTATAATGATAATTCACTAATAAAAAACATTTTTAGAATTTGATAAAATCTAAATATTCCATATTTGAGTTAATAGTATTGAACAATTGAACAGTTGATCAATTGAATGGTTATGGAAGATATCATTTGGAGACATTGGTTGAAGGGAACATGAGAATTCTGCATGACTCTTGCAACTTCTTGTGAGTCTTAAACTGTTTCAAAATCAGATGTTATAAATTGAAAGAAAAAAATTACTTGAAAGAGTGTTGCTTTCCCTAAAAACACCTAGAATGTGACTTCTCTGAGTGAGGATTCTGCTGTGTCATACTCTCCCATTTCACTTTGGATACAAAAATCTCAGAAGCCAATTTCAAATTCGTTCTAGAAATACCTTAGCCCTTAAAAAGCTTCAAAACATTTATGGAAAGAAATAGCATAAAAATTCATAAACAAACAAAAACACTTAGCTAGCATATGAGATGTATGTGTGTTTTTTTTTAATCATCTAGGAATTCCGTTTTCTGTTACCTGAATGCCCTTACCTAGAACCAATTGACCCCTCTCTGCAGGCAGGACTTTGTTTGGAGAGTTGTCTGTGTGTTGAGAGTTTTCAGCCCTATTGTGGTTGGTACCAGGAATGCTCAGCGGATGAGTAGCACAGTGGACCCTGTTTCAGATGCATGTCCCTCAGGCAGGACCAGACTCAGTCTGGTTGCCATGCTTGCCCATAGTTCTGCCTTCACAGAGGCCTTTAGGTATTGAAGGTTTAGGGTCTTGAGATAGCCCAGATTCCAGTGTCCCTGTGAGGAAGGACATAGTTTTTAGCAGCTACAACCCAGAAAGAAGCACTTCAGAAACACATTTTAGGAAGGCACCTTTTGTGAATAAATGTGAGCTCCAGATATAAGGTTGTTATTACAGCTCATTTCACGTTGGGCCCACTCAGACTCTCCACAGACAGAAAGCAAGTGGCAAGCAGCCAACTCTTCTGGACAGAAGGGAAGGAAGCTCAGCCAGCCCCTGGATGGGCAGCAGTGTGCACCCTGGGTACCCACCACCCATCAGGAAAGCAAAAAGCACATAAGAGCTCTGAAAATAGACTATCCTGCTCTACCACCTGCCAATGATGTGAACTTAAGGATTCTTGTCTCCTCTCTGAGTCTCGCCTGTAAAATGAGCATGAGATAGCATAGCCCACAGACTTATTTGCGGGGGCAGGGGGGGGGGGGGGGAATGTAGTAATACGTGCAAAGGACCAAATAGCGTGTCACATGTAGTCAATCCACAAATGTTAAATTTTGTCCCCTCTTCAATAATAATAATAATGAGGTAACGTTTATTGTGTCCCAGCTGTTGTGCTAGGTTGTGGAATTTAAAAAAAGAAGAAGAAGAAAATAGTGTTTCTGTCCTTGAATGAATGTCAATTAGTGTTCATAGGACACCATAATGCACATCATCCTACTTAGCCTTGTGACAGTTCTCTGAGGTTGGTAATGTCATTCATTCCTGTAGTACAGATGAAGACAGTCATCTGCCGAGAATGGTGACAACACCCCTCAAGTACAATGAGAGGGGTGTGGGTTAAATATAGTAAAAGGAGCTCTTGGGATCTGAGAGCTGGGAGCTAGTAGATGGCACCACTATAAGTATGTTGGAGTCTCTTTCCATAGAAATTTTAAGAAACTCCAAGGAGAGCTAGGATTGGGTGGAGCCATGTGACAAGGGCAAGTCCACAGAGTGAGCTCAAGGATGAGGGCAGCCTTTTCCTGACATCTCCCTGGCTCTTCCCTGCAGGTGTCTGCAGCAGCGCCCTGAGGAGAGCCTGCCCACAGCCAGTGTCATCCTCTGTTTCCATGACGAAGCCTGGTCCACCCTCCTGAGGACCGTGCACAGCATCCTTGACACAGCACCCAGGGCTTTCCTGAAAGAGGTCATTCTCGTGGATGACCTCAGTCAACAAGGTAGCTATGGGTTTCCTCCAGGCTCGCTGGGGTGGGCCTGGACCCCTGCAAATTCTTGTGAGTCTTAAACTATTTTTTAAAAAAAGAAACCTGCAAAAGAGTGGGGTTTGGAAACCATTTTAGGCAAGTTCCCCAGATGCAGAGTTCCAGGTGAGAATTCATGTGCAAGGAACTTATTAATAATGAGCCCCTAGGGAAAACCAGTAAGGGAGTGGGGAAAGCCAGACAGAAAAGGGGAAGAAGCCAAGCAAGTGGAAAGTTCTGGAAGGGTCCTGGGGAGGGTCACTGCAGTCTGATCCCACTGCGGTCTCTCTCTCAGGCCCCAGCCTCAACACAGTCCAAAAAATGCTGGAGAGTCACAAGAGGGTGACCATTTTTTGAGGGCTCACTGTAACCTAGAACTTGGATAAAGAGCTCTACAACTCACCTTGTTGAGACCAACTTACCTACTGTCCAGACAAGGAGGTTGGGGCCAAAGGCAACAACTGGCCAGAGCTGAATCTGCTAAAAAAAAAATCTGCTCAAATGCTTCCCCATCATGACAGGAAACACTAATGGATATACCTGAAAAGAAGATGGACACAGAGAAGCCCCCATCTGACCTTGAGGTTGGCAGTTCTCCAACTTAGGCTGGGTCCGAGTCACCTGGCAGCCCTGACAGGGCCAGAGTTTCTGGGTCTGAGCTTGGGCCCAGGAATTCCTATTTCTAGTCAGTGTTGCTGTTGGTCCATGGACCACTCTTTGAAAACTACTGCTTTGGTTTTTGGTTCCTACATTTCTGAATTACCTAAATGACCTCCACAGGCTCCATCTAGCTTTGTAGAAAGATGAGGCTATTGAAGGGAAGCTAAGCATTTTCTGAGGTTTAAAAAACATGGTTGTTTTGTTTTATCTGGTGTTGGGGATCAAACCTGGGATCTTGTACATGCCAGACAGAAATTCTGCCACTGAGCCACATTTCCAGCCCTGAGAAGCATGTTTCTAAAGGCAGTGATAGAGGACAGGAAAGAATGACGAGGGCCTCTTCTTTCTAAGGTCCTTGTGGTAGGATCTTTTTCCAACCTGACCATGGCAGAAAGTCAAACTAGCCAGAGGTTTTGGGGGTGCATGGGTTCCTGAGCTATATCTGGCTGGGTGTTGGGCAGGACTGATAAGTAGGTACTGGACTGGGCTGGACCTGCTGGTCAAAGTGCTCAGTGGGTCTTCCAACCCTCATCTGGGCTGGGTCCTCCAGGAGAGTGGGAAGTAGAGGAGCTGGTGTTCGGGAAGTGGCTGCTTCCAACATCTGCAGTGCTGACCAGTACCCCTAGAAGTCATCTGGATCCCATGCTCAGCCATTAAGGTTTGCTACCTGCTCACCAACTCTCCCTCTGCCCCTCACCACTAGGCTGGCTCTCTGTTCAGTGGCCCCATGTTCCTTGCCAACACTGAGGAGCAAGGCTTTTCCCGCAACCAGGGGTGGCACTGGCTCCCTTTACCCCCAGCTTGCTCCCCTGTGACCTGTGTGCCTGCTGAGACCCAGAGTGCAGACCATACCCACCACATTCACTGTTCTCATCTAATCCTTACAGCCACCCTGAGTTCACCAACCCTGCTTTACACCTGAGGAGAGCCAGGACACAAAGCTGCTGCAGGCTTCCTGAAGTCACCCCAAATTATAGTCACAGCTGGGCAATAGAGTCATCTAGACAAGCTTCAGATTATTCATCAGGGATAATAATTTCCACATTGAATCATTAAACCAGAAAGTGCATGGGATGCCCAGCCCATGATAGACTTCCTGCAAATGGACTTCATTGCTATTCTCTGAGAGGAACAGGTCAGGTTTTACTAGCTCCCTCTGAGCGCTTTACCCCAGGTGATCTTCTCACCTGCCTCTAAGACTCTGAGAATTTCAAACTGCCTCTTCAGTCTTCCTTAATCTATTCTGGAGCTCTCGATAGATTCTCTCCTAAATAAGACTAAGAAGGGACGTTTGGGGTACATCAAGGCAAGGGCATTGGTGCAATTCTATTGGAAGTGCATTCTACATTCCTTATACGATACAAGTTTGTCAACAGTCTGGAGACTCTTAGCTCATAAAGCTTAGGGACCTTTATTGCACTAAGCCTAAAGGGGGATTGTTCTGTCCTGTTGCTTTGTTTTCTCTATCTGTAAGGTACCTGTTAGCCACTGCAAGCCTCCACGGTTAAATGTCTGTAAGCAGAGTTGCTGTTTGTCAGCATGCAAAGCCACTCCTGCCAGCTCTTAAACTGCTAAAGTTCCCATTCTGTTCTACCACAGTATCCCTACAGTGAGACCACCTCAGCTAGCACCCCAGTGATCTCTCAGATGCTGATTCAATGAGCCCTGTCTTTACCTGCCTTGACCATTATCTTAGATTGGGTCCCTGGGAGCAGAACTGGAGACAGGATTCACCGACATGTGCTTGTTTCAGTGGATGTTTTAGGGGATGAGAGAACAATAGCAAGTTCTCTCCTCTCCTGGTTTTGTACACCAAGCCTCGGCTTTTGGTGGATAGAATTGTGACCCCTTCCAAACTAAGGAAGCCTCTTGCATCTTAGCAACAACCACCTTATAACAATGCAGTTGAGTTTCAGGACCTTTTTGCTCACGATGGCTTCTAAGAGACAGCCACTGACAGTGACCCAAGTGATGGTCATCACAGTCCCATTGACTATTGCATCTGTGACCCCAATGACCAGAACCTTGTTGATTCCAGGACAACTCAAGTCTGCTCTCAGTGAATATGTGGCCAAGCTGGAGGGTGTGAAGTTGCTCAGGAGCAATAAGAGACTGGGTGCCATCAGGGCCCGGATGTTGGGAGCCACCAGGGCCACAGGGGACGTGCTGGTCTTCATGGATGCCCACTGCGAGTGCCACCCAGGCTGGCTGGAGCCCCTGCTCAGCAGAATAGCTGATGACAGGTAACACCCACGAGGGTCTGCAGTGTGAGAGGTGGGTCTGGGAGAAATAGCCCACAGACTCAGCCACTGTTCTTTGTAGAAGACTATCCCCAAATCACAGTGACTGTGTATTACTGGAGGCAGACTCTAATGCTGTCCCATTTCCTAATCCCTAATTCCCATCCTGGTCTCACAGACAGATGGCTCTCAGAGGGACCTTGGAGACCATCTTGTCCCATCTCATGATCCCCACTATTGAAAACACCTGAGTTGCAGGGATGGTGACCACACCCCCAGGGTCACAGCCACTAGCAGCTGGGCTGTCTCTTGTGCTTCCTTTACGAACCTTAGGAACCCAGAGATGAACATTAAGTCTTGTGTTATGTCTAGACCTATGTATGACTTCATATGTATGTCATTTTTACAATCTTCCCCCCATGTGGTGGCTCAGGCAGGCATTTTTGCTTCTGTGTCCTGTAGAGGACAAATGGAGGCTCAGGGGGGTGACAGGATGTGCAAGGGCACCCAGAGGACAGACAGCTTCTTAGGTTTCCTGACTCTAGGCCCAGTGTTCTTCTCACTGTGTATGATTTCTTTATATCTTTTTACATTGGGGGGGGGGGGTACTGAGGATTGAATCCAGGTGTATTTTATCCCTGAGTTACACCCTCAGCCCTTTATTTTGAGACAGGGTCTCACTAAGTTGAACCTGTGATCCTCCTGCCTCAACCTCCCGAGTTGCTGGGATTACAGGTGTCTGATTTCTTTTTAAGAATTGGGGAGAAATATTGGGCCATCCCCACTCTGTATCCCAGCTGTGGGACACAAATTAAACACGGATGTGAGTCCCTTGTGTTTGCTGTCACACTGGTGTCACACTGTCACACTGTTGTACACACCCAGCCTCTGACTCTGCTACATTCCTGCCTTTCCTTCTCCCTCATGTCCTCTCTCTTCTGTGTGGTATGACTCTTTTCATCCACCCCACACCTCCTTCATGGCTTCCTGTCAACTCTGCTTCCCAGGGTCCAGCTCATAAGCCTCAGGCGTGAGGGCCTCAAAGAAAAGCTACCTATCTAGAATCTGAGTTGTCATTTATGTCCTCTGGGCTTGCATTTCTCCCCCAGTGATGTGACCACACAGCCCTTGTGGGCTTCCCAAGGCAGCTCATTACATGGAAAGCAAAGCCACAGAGGCCACCAAATGTAGCTGCTTAGAGACAGAAAAGGGGACCTAGCTGCATCTGAGACTCATGTCAAGAGACTTTCGGTTTCTAGATGAGGAGGACCTAGTGTCTAAAAATGAGGAAAAGTCTTTAAGAGTGAGCAGTGTGATAAGCCACACACCAGTTACTTCAGAGTCATAACAGCCTGGTTACCAATCTTGATTCCCTACCTCTGTACCTGGAGCAGGTCCACCACTAGCCATATGCAACTTTGAATTATTTCTTTAGATTTTTTTCTTCTTCCTCACCCTTTATTCCCATCCCTCAGAAAATTTGTCATAATATACTGATTTTGTTAGAATAAGATATTAAAATGCAAACTGCCAGAAAATTGTCAAATAAATATGCAAATTTATAGTATATATAATATTAGAGATGTTCTTTAGGGTTGAGCCCTGCACAACCCCCATAACTATTCATAGCAACCCTACACAAAGTCTCTCTGTGAGCAGCTGGCTTTAGGGCAATCCTGGAAGGTGCTGACAGATGGTCAGTTTCTATATACAGTAACAATCATGAAAATGAAGAACATCTGTCATTTCCAGCTTCCAATTGTCTGACGGGCATCTCCATTGGCCCAAGCCAAGGAGTAGAAGTCATACTGCTAAAAAAATGAAGGTTTCTAAGGAGAAGGAGGCAGTCTTCAGTAGGAACCAAATGACAATGTCATTTCAAGACATTGGCTAAATTGTCTCCCATTTAAATATTGGACTGTGCCCTAAGAGATATCAAGTCCTTAAGTCACCATTACTCAGCAAGGCTAATCCTGCTTGGTGGGGAGAAACAAGGTGGGGCTGGAACAGAGCTCCTCCCACCTCTCTACTCTTCAAGTGGTTAAAAGAGGGAGCAGTCAGAAATCCCCTGTGTGTGCTTGTGTAGGAATGTGGGAAAGTGTGTCTAGGTGCCTGTGAAGGAGCAGAAAGGCATCAAGATAACCCCACCCCTCAGAGGGAGCAGCCACCAAAGAAATTCCCCAGCCCCCAATTCCGTTCACACCCCTTGGCATGACAAATTCCCTGATCTGACCCTGGAAGTGCTGGGGTACCAACCAGTCCCTGAGCAGCAAGAACTGTGGGAAAAGAATTTAAAGGCTGCCTCATCTCAGTATAAAGACCTTTCCACAAAAAACAAGATTATGTGTGAACTTTCAAAATGGCGGACCTAGAGGGACATCCAGGCCCAGGAAAAGTAAAGAGAGATAAGATAAACTAGGACTATTCTTTATTCTTGGGAAAGCATTGACTGGGAATGTTGAAATGCGGTTACTTTGGAATCTCTGGGCAGCAGAGTATTATTAGTTATCCTCACATATTTCAGTTAGCTAGTTTTTGTTGACCGTTTAAATGCCTCTGTTTGTCTTTTGAAACCCAAACACTTGACCTCCTGGAATTTGGAAAGTTTTCCCAGAGGCTCTGCCTTGCACCTGCCTGGGATTAAGAAGGACTTTTAGAGACTGGGAAGAGTGCTGGGGTGGGGACAGGAAAGGGACTGTGGAAAGTAGTAGGGTTATCAGATGTGATTAATGCATGGCATATACATGTATGGAAAGATCACAGTGAATTCCATCCATTTTTACAATTAACACGTGTTAATATGATAATTTAAAAATTCACAAGTCCAAAGATGACGGAGTGACACTAACACAATCTCCTCCAAGTCAAAAGGGGTTGCTTTCTTAGTTTTCATTCAGTGAATTCTGAGGACAACATATATACCTGTAGGTGCCAAAAAAAAAAAAAAGAGCTTAATATAAGACAGTGGGGATTTTTTGTTTCAAACTGATCACCCTTTTTGAATCACTAGTCTTATGAATTAGTTACTAATTCAGCCCTGATTGATCAGCCACCGTGATCTATGGGAATAAAAACAGAAAACATCTCTCCCTTCATTTGTTGACATTCTGTTCTCCATCTCCATCCTACATGTACTTGAGGAGGCTCATGATTCATCTCCATGTCCCCACTCAAACTACAGGAGAAAAGGGGAATTCAGAAAGGAAGGTATTTGGAATCAGGTCTAATATAGTTATTGGAAGTGAGATTTGCATGACTCTGAGCTTATACAAATGCAAAGTAAAAATAGTATGAGTTGCTGAGTTCTCACTTACTGATAAAAGAACATGCCTGCTAGGGAGGGATATTGACCAAACTATATTGTTAAATTGTGTGCATGTATAAATATGTAACAACAAATTCCACCATTATGTACAATTATAATGCACCAATAAAAAATGTGGAGGAAAACAATCATGTCCACCTTTGTTGAATGTACATCCTGAAAGTCTAGGATAAATCGATTGTGTTAGTGTCATTTCCTTTTTTGTCCTGTTTGGATGGATGAATGTAGTACAAATCTGATGCAATTCTTCAGAATTCAGCTTCATAGCTGCCTTGGGTCTTGATTCTGAAATTCCACAGAATGCTTTGCAAATAGCCAAATCCATCCCCTCCGTCCAATTTATCCCCATAGTAAGTGAAGACTGGGGAGGAAGTCTGGTACCCTCTTTCCTTTCTACTTCATTCTTGATTCATGGTTTTCTTAGATCAATGCAGGACACCCCAAAATAATGAAGACTTATAAGGATTGAATTCCCTTGTTTTTCAGTGGAACAATGTAAAAAGGGAAGAAAAACCTACTAGATCTTTTCTCTAAACATGAATACCATAATTCCCCACACCAACATCAGTCACTTAAGGAGACAGAGTAAAACAGATAATTGGATCCTGGGATTGGATCCAGATAATTGGTCCTGTCTATATGGTGTGGGCTTCTCCCACCCTGGCTGTCTTCAAGATGGACAAAGCAGAAATGGAAATCGATGGACAAATGCAATTGGATGGCATATCTCCTTCCAGGAAGCTCACTTTTCCTGAAGTGATGTCTTCAGCCTCTCCTGAGTTCAGACCAGATCCATTCCACAGCACAGATATGAAACATAATTATGAGGAGCCAGAATAAAATATAATTGAGATATTGAATAGGTAAAGAGCAGCTTCTGGTGCACCCAGGTGATGGCTTGTTTAGTTAAAAAGTTAAATTTCAACCTGTGCCAGTTTTCCACCTATCTCTCTCTCTCTCTCTCTCTGAAAACTTATCAACATTAGTGCAAAAAAAAAAAAAAAAAAAAAAATGGGGGATAAAATACAGCCCCCAACAGCAGCAGAAAATGAACAAATAAATCTGGACTCAATATTTTGCTTTGTTTATAGATATCATGTGCTCATAAATTGTAAACATTAACACCAAGGATACCTCCCAGTCTTGACGATCCTGATTCCTCAAGCCAAGGAAGTTTTAGGATACAGGAAGAAACAAGAACTAGACTGAGTCCATGAACCTCTGACATTGTGTGTGATCGTTTGCATGTGTGCATATAAAGCAATTTTCTCAGGAGGGGTCTATACTTTTTCCTGATTCTCAAAAAAGAATCACATTCTTGGAATATTATGCTGAGAAAGATCTTTATGGGAGGTAGCTCAACCTCTCACTTTACAAGTGAGGAAACCAAGGCTAGAGGGGTGTAATAGCTATTTTAAGATCATACAACTCAGCTCATTAGTGGCAGAGCTGAGCCTAGGACACATTTCCTCTGTCTCCCGATGCTGTTAAAAGAAAAACAGGAGCGGGTATACTCTTTAACAAAATGGGCCCCCATTTATTATGGAAAAACATGATTTTCAGAACAATGCTATGTAACAGAAATAGAACATGAGCCATATGTGTAATTTTTAAAAAATTAACAGTCACATTACAAAATAAAAATCAGCATATGAAATTAATTTTAAGAATATATTTTAGTAACCCCAATATATCCAAAATATTATTTCAACATGTAATCAATATAAAATTTATTGAGGCTTTCTTATATCCCTTTTCCATACTAAGTTCTACATCAGAGTGTGTATTTTAATTTTATACCACATCTTAGTTTGGGCAAACTACATTTGAGGTGCCCAATAGGCCCTAGTGGCTGGTTGCTGCCATATTGAACAGCACATGTATAGATTTGGTTTCCATCCCCGGAAGTGAATGGTTTGCATCCTTTGTCTGATCCCTCGATTCTTTCCAGGAGCCGTGTGGTATCCCCAGTCATAGATGTGATTGACTGGAAGACTTTCCAATATTATCCGTCCAAGGAGCTTCAGCGTGGGGTCTTGGACTGGAAGCTGGATTTCCACTGGGAGCCTTTGCCAGAGAATGAGAGGAAGGCCCTCCAGTTCCCCATCAGCCCCATCAGGTGAGGCCCCGTGGCACAACCTGTCCTTCCCTGGTTCCATACTTTCCTTACAAGGTAATCTATGCCTCAGTTTCCTTATTAGTGAATTGAGAATAATAATAGTATTACTTTATAAGATTGTTGTGAAAACCAAATGAGTTGATATATAAAAAGCATTTAGAAAGCTCTGGGCACTCAGAGGTAAGTGTTACTCTCATTGTTGTATTGATAGAGTCCAGTGAAGCTCTTCCACAGGGCTTTGGTGGATGTTGGAAAAGTGGAAGAGGAAGAGCTTGACCCAGCTCTTTCACCAGGTAGCATTGGAAATTCCTTGGCCTCAAATACTTGTTCAGCATAAATGAAGGATTTAGCAAGGTGAATATTAAAACATCATAAATCTCAAAATACATCCAGTTTTATGGGTCATTTTTCACATATTTGATTTTTGGACACCTATTTAAGTAGATGTCCTAGATATCTTCTCTGTTTAACAAGACACCTCAAAACCGTGGTGTAAGACAATAGCCATTTAATTAAGCTCACAGATTCTGATCATGAGTTCTGAAAGGGCATGGAGGGGTAGGCTGGTGGTTGTCTCTCCTTTACAGTGTCTGGGGTACATGCAGATTAAATAAATTGCTCAATGTCATAAAATTAATAAGAGGTAGATCCAAAAGTTAAAACCTGGACAGCCAGGCTCCTGAGACCCCATGTTTCACTACTATGCTGTACTGTGTTGTAAGTACAAGTTTATAGTCCATTATTCAAAACTGAAACCCAAAGAGCTCTGAAAATCAAGCATATTTTTCCTAATTCACAAAGCAGAAAAAGCTGCCCTGGACTGATGGAGGGGTTGACACAGGCCTGATTTATCCCACTTACTGTGAATATTTGAATGTTTCACTGAAGTAATATTGGTATGTTTGACTAAAGAGTCAAACCAGAGCTTACAAGTAGCATATGACTTCTTTTTAACTGTGATGATTTTTTTTAAATTTTTTTAGTTGTAGATGGACCCAATAACTTTATTTATTTATTTTTTATGTGGTGCTGAGGATCGAACCCAGTGCCCCACATGTGCTAGGCAAGCCCTCTACCACTGAGCCACAACCCCAGGCCCAGTATATACTTTTTAAAGTCCAAAAATTTCTTAATTAAAAACACACTGACCCATAGGTTTCAGAGAAGGAAGAGGGGCTTTATGACACCAAAATTTAGTGAGCATGTAAAATGTGGCCTCCACAGTGCTATGCCATTGACATCACTTGTTTTCCAAACCCCCACAAAGCCCAATTATGAAACACTGTTTTATCCCAATTAGAGGCGAGGAAACTCAGCTCAGAGAGGTTCAATACCTCATCCAAGATGGGCAAATAGTGACTAGCAGAGTTGGACACCATATCCAGAAATCATTACAATACTGATTCACAGTATTCTAACAATCTTTGTTCTCCTCCCATAAAACGTTTGGATTTCTGACATTGTTGTTTTGCTCCAGTCTTGAAATTAAAAACACTGAGGTCCATTTGAACCCAGAGTCGGCCCTCTTGGCCACTGGAACTCCCCGCCTGGGAAGGCCCCGGTTTTGCCTGCTGTGCTCCGGTTCTGAATCGTCCTCTCTTGCCCATCTTCTCTGCAGGAGCCCTGTGGTATCTGGAGAGGTGGTGGCCATGGACAGACATTACTTCCAAAACACTGGAGCCTATGATTCTCTCATGTCACTGCGGGGTGGCGAAAACCTTGAAATGTCCTTCAAGGTATGTCCTGTGCCAAGGGAGGACACAGTTGGGGTCTCTGGAACCCTGTGTATGGTTACAGCTTAAAGGCAGCCATAAGAAATTCAGGGATGAGGCTGTGGCCAAAGTATAAATTCATGACAATAAAGTGTGTCAAACTTCCCATTTCTCTCCCTTCTCTCTTGGTCCCTACCTTGATTTTATTCTCAGCCTCCTGAACTTGACTTTCAAAACCTGCTGTCAGGTAAGGGCATACCATCAGTCATTTACATCTTAGTGAAAGATTACAGAGACTCTTGTGTATTCTCTGTTCATAGCACACTTGGCATCTCAGTTGTTGTTTTTTTTTCAGCTCAATTTTTTTTTCAGAACCCATAGGCTAAACAAATACCAACTCTACCAACCCATTCTGTGTATTGAGTAGTTTGGTCCAAACGAATTAGTATTTGTCCTAACAACTTAGTCCCTGCTGGGTACTGCTTAACTTCTCAAACCTTGGAATCAGATCAGACATCCATCATTTTCTGCCCGCATTAATTTTACCACAATACTTGCTTTTTCATCCTGACAACCTCAAAAAACCCAACCCAGCAAGGACATTCATCATCAAAAGCACAAAGATATGATAATGAGTATGATTACTTGAGCTTGCAGTTTGCAAAATGTTCAACAGACATTATGTATCTGTTTCTCTTAAAAATTAAAAATATCCCAGATGCCCTTAGAGGTCTCTGAGTCACCCCGGGGCACCCAGTTTGGTAACCCCCACCTGGGTATGTTCCAATTAATATGTTTCCTATCATACCACAGTTTTCATTTTAACCTTTATCCCCAAGAGTGGAATGAAAGACTTTCTGTCAAATGAACTTCAGGAATTTGAAAGTGGGAGGGAGCATTGAGGGGCAGGGGGAAACTTCTGGAAATAATGAAGACGATTTAAGGAAGACTCATTTTCACATCTACCACACACGATCCAGTGCATTTGCCTGCAAATACTTTCAGAAATTCTCTGACAATTAGAAGCATCTTTTACCCTGAAAGCATCCTCTCAGAAGTGGGGTGCTAATACACCTGGTTGCCTCTTTCCCAGGTGCTGAATCTGCACATTTGTTTCAAGGGTGGCATGTTCAGGTAGCTGCATGAGTGTGGCTTCTCACCCCTCCATTCCATTCTGGGAAAACTGTCCCCATTCTTCCCACATTGACACTCTCCTGCCCAGATTCCCAGATCTGGAAATTCCACCCTGAGTATCTTGATGATATTGACCATCTTGTGCTCATGATTTCTGTGCAACTCACTAGCCCCTCAACAACAGAGTCCCTTCCTCCTCACCATTCTTGGAAGTGGAAGCTAGAGTCATTTACTTTCTCCCTTCATGGCAGGCCTGGCTCTGTGGTGGCTCTGTTGAAATCCTTCCCTGCTCTAGAGTGGGGCACATCTACCGAAATCAGGATACCCACTCCTCCTCCCTTGACCAGGAGGCCATCCTCCGGAACAAAGTCCGCCTTGCTGAGATCTGGCTGGGGTCATTCAAAGAAACCTTCTACAGGCACAGCCCAGAGGCTTTTGTTTTGAGCAAGGTAAGGAGAGAGCCAGGTTGAGGGTGGGGGTGGGCAGTTCTGTGCCCAGTGCAGGGCCATCTGCTGGAGGCTGGGCCAGGAGGGCTCCCTCCCTCTTGCCTGGAAGGAAAAATAGAAACTTTTGGCTCCAGCTTCCCTGAGTTGCCCCCTCCCAAGTGGCTTCTCTACCTGGTGGGCCTGTCCTTTGTCTCTCCAAGCATCTCCAGGGGACATTACAGATGATCTTGGCCTAGAGCTCTCTGATATCTATGAGATGACCTCTGAGGGATGCAACTCTTTACCAAGGGGCAAGAGGAGAGATTGGACACAGATAAATGATGAGACATGCCTCCAAGGGCCTTTCCATCCTGAGCAAAGTGCTCAAGGTTATGGAATTATCCAAGACAGGAAACAAATATAAGCGTGAAAATAAAGAGTCCCAAAAAAGCCGAAAAAAAAAAAAAAAGAAAATTGAAGCATTTAATTAAATATCCACATAGTACATTTACAACTGGTAAATTTTATGGAGTGTCACATAAATGCTACTTCATGTGAGCCATACTGGGATGGGGGGCTCCAAAGGTGAGATTCCCAGGACTCACAATGAACCTGAAACAGCTCCCACAAGCCCCTCACCAGCCAGCAATGCTGGGTGTCAGCTGAATATGAGGATCTCAAGCTAAAGATGAAGGCAGAGACCCTTAAGTGCAGAGACATCCCTCCCACCACTGAATAGGCCTTTCCCTGGGTGGCAGGGGAAACTCTGACAGGGATGCCCCATGGAAGAGCCCTATGCCTGCCCTTCTTCCCTGGTCCTCCAAGCTCTGTTCCTGCCAAACCTGGGTCAACCTGCTTTCCCACAGCAGAACAGCTCCAAGGCTGGGATGTTGGTGCTCCTTGGACCTCAAGGTTGTTTGTTTCTTTACCTGGGAAGTGCTGGGCTAGGGATGGGACTCAGTGGTCAGGTGCTTGCTTGGCATGTGTGAATCCCTGGGTATGAGGAAGTGCTCATGGTACACAAAGTCTCAGTTCCATGCCAAAGTCTAGACAGGTCAGAGCCCCCTTTTCATCCCCATGAGTTAGTGACGTTTTTGCAGAGTGACACAGAGCGACGCTACAGTTGGCAGTCTCCTTAGTTACTCCAAGAAGGGACCTGAAATGAACGAAAAATTCTCACAAGAACCTCACATATTTCTTTGCTAGTATCTTTGTTCTTCTTCCATCCTCTTTCTCTGTCTGTTGGAAATAGTCGACTCCAAACACCTCTCTAGGAGTCTGACAGTTATGCCCAGGCACTGCGAGAACATGATGGTTTAGGTTTAAATATTATTTTTTTTAGTTGTTTGATCCTGAACGTGACTTAGTCACTTACTGTTTCTGCTTCCTCACTTGCTAAATCTTCCTTATGTTGTTGGAATAATTTCCTAAATTAATATATCCAAAGCCCTTAGAAGAGTGCAAGGCACCAGGGAAATCCTGCATGTGTTTTTACTACCATCATTATTGTCATGGCTACTAATCATTAACAAAGGTTAAGTGAGTACCTGCCCTGTGCCAGGCTCTGTGTGAGTCCTTCAGGGGACACTGAATCATGCCCAACACTGTCAGATTCCTGGTGGAGGCAGGAGCTTCCATAGTGGGGACAGTGTCCACAAAGATGAGAGAGACACATTGGACAGGCCTATGAGGAACATCTCAGGGGAGGCTTCAACTCAGACATCCAGAGGAGGAGGGGTAGGGGACGATTCTGGCCCCTGAGGATTAGGATGAGGGTTTAGGCTCTATCCAGTTGGCAATGGGGTGCAGGTAGCATTTTACAGAGTTCTACAGAAGTCTACAGAGCTGCTCTGGCTTTTAATCTCTTAGCTTTCTTTTATTCAAAGCTTTTCTTTTTCTTTCCTGGGATGTTAGTATTTGCCCTTTGCTTTCAGAGGACACCTAATTAATGTTGACACAGACTTCATTGATAAAGAATTCTTTAAAAAGTGTTAAATATAGCGTAGATTCTAGGGCACTGGATGAACCTTCTGCTAGGCAGGCACAGCAGAACGTGGTATGTTGGCTGTAGCCAGTCCAATGCAACAGCATGGAAATTATTTACAGACCTTCAACCTTCTTCCCACGACTGTTGATGCAATTAGAAGTGCTTGTAAATATGCACTTGGCTCCAGGCAATTACAGAAATTGGGAGTTGACATGATGCTAGCCTGACTGGTCTGCTTTTGAGAAAATTTAATCTAGTTGGTGATTTTTTTTTTTAAGTACTTGTTTGTGTTCAGCCAAGCTCTTCATTCTACAAAATAGAAATCTGAGGCCCCTTGGGAGAGTAAATTGCTAAAGAAAAATAGGGAGAGATGCAAAACTAGAGCTAAAAGTAGAAGGGTAACAGAACTAGAACTTGTCCCACCTTGTAGCGGTTTCTTTTCTTTTAGCTGCCTAACATCTGGAAACACTAATCCTCAAACATAGGCACCACCCACTTCTGGGAACAGCTGGAATCCCATAAAGCATCTCTCCTCTGGTTCTGTCTGAATTTGTGGGGAGGCAGGGATGTATTTGGTATATAGAAGGTGCTCAATAAATATTCACAGACTCACAAACTCAGCAAAGGTAAGGACTGATTTTATCCTACTTACTGCTGAAATTCCCATTACTTAGTTCAATCCCAAGTGCATAGTAGGTGCTCCATGAATATTCATAGATAGAACGAATTGATGGTCAAAAAAAAATTTGCTAAATTGAAGCCAAACTTTGGCCCTCACCTTTTAGAAGCTAGTGATCCTGGGAAAATCACTTAACCTCGGAGGCACAAGAACCATTATGAAGATAAAATGAAATGTGCTCTGGAAAATGTAAAGTACCATCTAAATGCTAGGTTTACTTTCATAAAGTCTAAGGGTGAATTACTCTTTTCTTCTTTTATCCACTTGGGCATTCATTTTCTGATCCACAAAGTCCCTCTTTGTTCATCTGATGACTTTTACAAGGAGAATGGAGCCCCTACTGGTCAGCGAGTAGAACTTTGGCAGGGATTTTCTCTCTCTCTCTCTCTCTCTCTCTCTCTCTCTCTCTCTGTTTTAGAAATGTCCTACCACTTAGTTGGATTTCAAGATTTCAGTGACAGCCCTCCTCTTTGAAAGTGTTTGATAGCATTTCCTTGCTTTAAATTTAAATAGCTAAAAAAATTAATTTTGCTCTAGAGATTTCTAGCCCTCCCAAAGTGTCACATGGATTTTGAGATATAGAAATCCTGGGCACTCAAAAGACAGCCAGGGCCTCCACTGTCCCCAGTAGTGAGGCTTTCTCCTCTCTCAAGTATAGTTATACAGGAGGCAAAGCAGTGCTGGCTTACCCCTGTGTTTGAGGTCACATATGGGTTGAGCAGACTTGCCAATTTGTCTCTTCACCTAGAAAAGTGAAGGCAAAACTTGCATGAAGGAATATTTCTACTTTGATGACAAAGTCCACTCGTGAGAAGGACTGGACAGATCTCAAATAAACACCAAAAATGCCAAGAAACTATACATACATATATATACTTCCTTAAAGAAAAAAGTAAAAGATCTCTTAGGTTTAATGATGGGTAAATATGCTGAATAAACAAAAGTTCCCATACTTAGAGAAGTTGTTCTCAAACTGTGGAGAAGACTGCCCAGGAGAAAGGTCTAAAATATAGATTTCAAGATTCCCAGTCCAACTAACTGAATCACAGTCTCTGAAGTAGGGTCTAGGAACGTACTTTTTTTTTCTGTCTACAAAAGATCCATTTTTCTACTTTAAAATGGAGAATTTTATGGTATATCAATTATGTCTGGATAAAAAAAATAGACACAGATACCCAATAAATTAATTCAAGAAAATAAAAGCATACCATATTGCAATTTAACCTTATAGATATCTTAAATATTTGTTATTTATATTATTATGTTTTATTGGTCCATTAAAATTACATATAATAGTGGGATTCATTGTGATATATTCATACATGCACATAATTGGATCAATTTCATTCCCCCAATACTTCTCCTTTCCTTCCCCCTTTCCCTCCCCCTGATTTCCTTCCTTGATTCTACTGGTCTCCCTTCCATTCTTTTTTATTGGTGCATTATAATCATACATAAAAGTGGGGTTTGTTGTGATGTATTTGTATATGCACATGGCATAATTTGCCCAATTTCATTCCCCAGTACTTCTCCTTTCCCTTCCCTCCTTCTTATCCCTCAATCCCTTTCCTCCATTCTAACTTTCTCCCTTCTACTATTATGAGATTCCTTTTTATTGAGTTCTCTCTCTCTCTCTCTCTCTCTCGCTTCTGCGTATAAGAGAAAACAGTTGACCTTTGATTTTCTAAGTCTGGCTTATTTCACATAGAGTTTTTATCTATTTGCCAGCAAATGACATAATTTTATTCTTAATGACTGAGAAAAACTCCATTATGTATATACATCACATTTTCTCTATCCATTCATCTGTTGATGGACACCTAGCTTGGTTCCCTAACTTGTGAATTGCACTGCTGTAACCATCAGTATACATATATCTCTATAGTATGCTGATTTTAAGAGCAATGAGTGGAAATGCTGGTGATGAGACTCAATCAGGGCTGAGTTCCATTTCCCCAGATGTTGAATATTGAATACAGAAGAAATGCCGAGGTAAGAGTAGAAAGCAAGTTTTATTTAAAGGATAGAACACAGAGAGACTTCTCTGAAGATAAGGGGGCCCAAAGCTGGGTGTCTGAGGAAATGGGACTGTCCTGCCCCTTTTATACATTTTATAGTTCCGTGGTTCTCATACCCTCCTGCTCCCCTTATCTTAGTGACCAAATGATGGGAAAAAAGCCTTCCAGGGGTTCCTCTCCAGTGTCTGCCCAAATGGGCAGGAAAGGAGCCTCTCAGGAGGTATTTCATCAACTACCCCTACAACTCCTTGCAGGGAGGAATAATACTCTGGAGGCAGGTAGCTTTGGCAGGAGAGGAGGGGCAAGTGTCCTAGAGATATTAGCATTTTGTTTCCTCCTTTAGAACCAGCTCTTACTTAAGACCTACCTGCTCTGTCTTTTTGTCCCCGTCTCAATATGGTAGAAATCTACATTTTTTTTTAAATTTACTTTTTATTACTTCTAATCAGTCATATATGACAGCAGAAAGCTTTTCAATTCATTGTACACAAATTGGTGCACAACTTTTCATTTCTCTGGTTGTACACAATGTAGAGTCGCACCACATGTGCAGTCATTCACATACCTATGGTAATGATGTAATGTCTCATTCCACCATCTTTCCCCCATACTCCTTCCCGTTTCCTTCCTCCCCTTGGCCCAATCAAAGTTCCTCCATTCTCCCCATCCCCCACTCCCATTATGGATCAGCTTCTACTTTTCAGAGAGAACATTTGGCCTTTGGCTTTTTGGGATTGGCTTACTTCACTTAGTATGATAATTTCCGACTTCATCCATTTACCTGCAAATACCATAATTTTATTCTCTTTTCAGGCTGAATAATATTCCAATACCACAGTTTCTTTATTCATTCATCTATTGAAGGGCATCTAGGTTGCTTCCACAGTTCAGCTATTATGAATTGTGCAGCTATAAACATTGAAATGGCTGCATCACTGTAATGCGCTGTTTTTAAGTCCTTTGGGTATAGACATAGGAGTGGGATAGCTGGGTCAAATGGTGGTTCCATTCCAAGTTTTCTAAGGAATCTCCTTACTGCTTTCCAGATTGGTTGCACCAATTTGCAGTCCCACCAGCAATGTATGAGTGTGCCATTTTCCCCACATCCTTGCCAACACTTATTGTTGTTTGTATTCTTGATAACTGCCATTCTGACTGGCATGAGATGAAACCTTACAATCGATCAACAAACATATGAAAAAAATGTTCAACATCTCTAGTAATTAGAGAAAGGAATCAATATTTTTAACAGGCTCCTGGGCATTCCTTGATGTAGGTGCTTAGAGAATCACACTTTGAGAAATATGTCAAGAGGATGTCAGTATGGCAGACGCTTATTCTTCCCAACATTTCTATCTGAGAACTAACAAGGAAAAAAGCAGAATCAAACCAAGCTCACTTCACACAGCCTGATGGTCCTGTGTCTTATCGTCAGATGAGGGGCCATCAAGGTAGAACTTGGATGAGGATAATGCTCTTCCTCTTCCCCTGACAAGGAAGAATGATGATGGCTGGTTGTCTTTCTCTCTTTGAACTTTGGCCATTCCAACCTCTCCTTAGAGTTTCTCTTTTCTGTAAAAATATCCAGGACTTAGAACTAAACTCCTGGATGGTATTCTTTGTATTTTATCAATATAGCCAAAAACATTAATTTATGCTAGTGTGAAGGATTTGACCAGATATCTATCCTAATACAATTGTATTATAAAGGAGAATCTCAAGGAGTGGGAATAGTATAGCCCTAACAAATGATTCATTAATGGAGGAAATTGTGGACCAACAAGGGAAGAAAAATAAATTTGCCTCGCCTCATCCTTCATCCCACAGTTTCCCAACTGATGTCATCTCAGTTGTCTCTGGGCCAGTTTCTGCCTCCTGGAGGCCCATGGTTCTGCACCATGCCAACACAGGTGCAAAACCCAACTAGTTCACCGGTTTCCACAGAAAAGTCATAGACATTATGATCTTTATAGACTTAAGGGTTGGGAAGTTGTGGGAAGGGGGTGATATTGTCACAGGAAAGCAGGGAGCTGAAACTCCAAACCTCAGTTCTTGTGTTCCAACAAAAGAAGATTTAACGTCAGACACCAAAAGTTATGCAAGAGAACTTCATTCAAAATAAAAGTGAAGATAACATCTAGTAAAAGAAAAGTGAGGCTTAAGAAAAAAGCACTCTCAAGAGAGAGACTGGGCTGTCTCCAAGCAGAGAATGACAAAGGAGACAATGCTGTCCCCAATTTTATTACTGTTTGTTGTTTACCAGGAAAGCTGGGGACCACCTTCTGTACTCTTTGCCAATCAGGTGTTCAATTTCTTCATGTTGGATGGTGGAGTTTTTTGCTTTAGTTGGTCCTCTCTGCAACTGTCATGATGGCCATCTTATTTATGGGCTTTCAACTACAATTCAATCCCATGTTTGCACTGGGGTCAATAGCTGCTCAGAAGTTACCTCAGTGCGCCTGTGCTACTGAAGGAATCTTCCTTCCCAGACAATTGGAGACACTTATAACCATAATTCCTAGCTTTACATCAACATCAATGGACCCTGTCAAGAGTTAGTCCCATTAATCCTTTTGTTTTGACATATTTCCCAGTTAGTTCCTCTTGCTTCTGTTTATTTTCTACAAATTAACTGCCATCCTTTGCTTTCTTATCTACTTTGAAATTAGTTTAAAGAAGGACCCCAAAATAATTTAAAGAATACTTGTGACCTTGTCTGCATTTTATTGCTCATTGCTAGTTACTCCCTAACAATATCACAATCATGCTGGTTCCACAGCTCTCTCTAGGTAAGATCTAGCCTACTCTTCATCCTACCCAAACCTTCTTCTTCAGGTACATGAACCCCCACCTCTGCCTGGCAGCCCTGGGAACAGGGATCTTGGGCCCCTCCCAGTCCTTCAGCTTCTTCCCAGCCACCTCTGTCCCTCCCCTATGTTGTAAACTGTGGTGTTCAACAAATCTTCCTCATCTTCCTGCTGGTCCTTCTCCTCTCCCAGGCCGAGAAGCCAGACTGCACTGAACGCTTGCAGCTGCAAAGGAGACTAGGCTGTCGGACGTTCCATTGGTTTCTGGCCAACATCTACCCTGAGATGTACCCATCTGAACACAGGCCCAGGTTCTCTGGAAAGGTAAGGCATGACCCAGGGGAGCCGGGAAGGAGAGAAGGGACAGGGAAGCTTCTCAAGACAAGAACTGCATTGTTCAAATGCTCTTTTGTTGCCCTGAAAGAAGTCCCAAGCTCAGAAGGGATTCAGAGATCTGTAGTGCCTCCCTGGTCTCCTTGCCAGCCTGAGAAAAGTATCTAGGTTGCCCTAGAACCTGCCCCAGGTCTCCTCACCAGGACAAATGTGGCCTGCCTCCTCCAGGAAGCGTGTCCCTTAGGATCAGTGGCTTTGAATTGGCCTTACGCATTGTGGCTTTAACAATGCACCTTGAGCTTCTGCCCAGAGAATTAAGGAGAGGAGTGGGGCCTGACAAGGGTATCTCTACCATGGAAATCACAGACAATGGGATTCACTTCTGTGTGCATGTCCACTTTCAGCTCCACAACACTGGATTTGGCTTCTGTGCAGACTGCCAAACAGAAGGGGACATCCTGGGCTGTCCCATGAGGCTGGCCCCTTGCAGTGACAGCCAGCAGCAACAGGTGGGTGATCAAACTTCTTAGGATGGATAGCAGCCCAAGGAAGACTTGCAAGTGGGTGCCATTTTTCTGAGATGCCCTTCACTTCTCTCTGAAGTAGTGCCTTTCTGTGGTCCCATGTCCCCCACAGTAATGACTCAGAATAGCTCTGTCCACCTCATCCTAAGCTATAATCACAAACATGAGCTGGCATCTAAGAATGCATTGTCTTAGTTAGAAGGAAATGTGGAGGCTGTTTAGCCCACTCTCTCACTTGGCAGACGAGAAAGCTGAGGCATAGAATCACTAGCTCAGGGATTGCAGACTCAGATGCCTCCAGGGGTGAGGCAGGTCCAACTGTCTAAGGACAGAAGAAGTTAATTGAGTGGGGGGAAGGATCTAAACACAGCAGGATCACTCCAGCATCCAAGTAGGCCTCTTAGTCATTTGGAAGGTCTCCTTGTACCTTAGGGTATTTCTTATTCTCTTCAGATTTCTATTTTGAGAATAAAGCTGAAGGTGACAGAGAGCCTCCTTTGATGCTGAGGGTTGATGGGTCCACTTTTTTTCACAACTTGGATGATAACCTAGCAAGCATAACCCAAGTGTGTTAATCAGCTTTGTATCACTGTGACTGAACTACCCAACAAGAACAACTTAGAGGAGGGAAACTTTATTTTGGCTCACAGTTTCAGAGATTTAGTTCATGGTGGGCCAATTTGATTGCTTTGGTCCCAAGGTAAGGCAGGACATCATGGCAGAAGGGGGTGGAGGACGGAGGCTGCTCAGGACATGGCCACCAGAGAGTAGAAAGAGGGAAGGGCAAAGAGGTCACGGAGAAGATGTACCCTTCCAGGACACACCCCCAGTGGCCCACCTCCTCCAGCCACACCCCACCTGCTCATAGTTAACCACCCAGCCAGTTCATTCAAACTAAGATGGACTGATTGGTCCATCTTAATCTAATCATCTCACCTCTGGATGTGCCTATATTAACAGGAGCTTTTGGGGGACACCTCATATCCAAACTATATAGTCAAATCTCTTTGCTTTCAGGCTGTGATAGGAGTTAAGCTATCATACCCCCAAATCCCCTAGAAAACAAGCAACATAGTTCAGTTTCTGGAGGTATTCATTGGACAAGTCAGCTGAGGCCCTGAGAGCCTGGGGTGAATGAGGGGACATCTGGAAGGTCTGGAGTGGGCTTTGCAGTGCAGGCCCTGGACCTGGAGGACATATAGGGAAGGAGAAGCTCAAGATCCACCTGGCTTCTTCTGGCTCTTTCCTTTATCAGTCTTCCAGAACACACTGTTAGGCATTCACACCAGACACAAGGGATGAGGACATAAATTTAAAGTGCTAACTGAGGAAGCTAAGAATGAGGATGACAACTGTCCAGACATGGCTGAGTTTGGATCCAAGTTCCCCATTTGTGAGCTTTGTGTTTTTGGCAGGCATGTTAACCTCTTTGAGTGTTGATTTCTTTGTCTGAAAGTGGGGTTGATGATGCAGCCTCCTGCATGCAAACAGAAGATTAGCTCTTTTCTGGGCTTTTACTTTGAGGAATCTAGGGAGGATTTCTGGATCCAGCAATATTGTGAACTAGATAAGTGGAAATTTCTTTTCTTAAGTATTTAGATATGATATGCTGGATTTAAAAAATATATGAAAAGCCCTTTTTCCATGCAGAAGTAATTGATTTGACAAGAAAGAAAGGAAAAATCTCCAGGGATAAAAATCAAAAGGCAACTGAACATGGAGTCACAGGGATGGGCTGAGCCACCTGCCAGGTGGGAGGGCATGGTTTTCATCAACCTCAGAAATCCAGGGGTGTGAGCTCCTTCATGCAGCCCAGGGGAGATGAGACAGTGGAAATGAGACTCCCAAATAAAGCCAGCTTTGACCTTCACAGAGGAACTTGTTCTTGGAAAGTTGTAGAAATATCTACCCCCGACACAGGGAAAAGGCAAAGAAAAATGTCACCATAGGGCATTTGAGTAGGAAAAAATTACTCTCTCTTAAACATTGTCCACAAACTTGCCTCTAACGTGTGTTCAGTGTTCAAATTTATGCTGATTGTGTAGTCTGGGAATGCTCAAGCAGCTACTTAATTTGCAGGGCCCAGTGCAAAACAAAAGTGCGGTATCTCTAATTTGATAATTATTAAGAATTTCAAGACAGTGATGGCAGAGTATATTAAACCAAGATCATTAAGCCCTTCTAAGCACGAGACCCCAGTGACTGCACTGGGGGTTGCATCCAGCAAGAGCAAACAGAAAATGGTTTTGTCAGGTCATGTCTTTCAATTAGTCTACACAGGCTTAGTCTACAAAGTTAGAGCCCCTCTGCAAGTGTATAAACAACCCACTACTACAAGACAGGGAGGGTAGTCCTACCTACGAGTGAGTCAGCAGATATCATCAACAGCAGAGTTTCAGGAGCAGGTAATTCCTCTCCAGAAAGAGGTCAACTTGGGCATCAGAGAGGTTCCTCCTCTGCCCTTCCAACAGCACACTCACAAAACACACAGCATTCTTTATTGCTTTACCTATGATATAGTAAACAGAACAATGGAGAAACATGCCAATGTGGAAATATGAACAGGAGAGCAGCCTGAATGGGGGACTTCAGAGGTCAGGCTGGGCTTGCAGCCTTGTGGACTTGACCATGAGATACAGTCCTGCAGACCCCAGTAGAATCCAAGGATGGCCCCTATATGCCTGTTCTATTGTGAGTTCTCTTTGCTTCATCTCCATCTCTGAAAGAGTCTCTTGCCGGCTGTGCTGACAACCATTCCCTCTGTCCCAGCACCTGGAGCACACCAGCAGGAAAGAGATCCGCGCTGGCAGCCCACAGCACCTGTGCTTCGATGTCAGGCGAGAGCAGGTGATTCTTCAGAACTGCACAGAGGATGGCTCTGCCATCCACCAGCAGCACTGGGACTTCCAGGAGGTGAGCAACGCATTTGGGAAAGTTCAGCAGTGCTGCTGGTGGGAAAGAACTCCCAGTCAGCACTTCCCAGGCTCTTCCAAGAGGTCAGGTTTTCCATAAGGCCTCTGAGGGAGGTAAAGGCAACTCATCAGGGAAGGGTACTATTGAAATGTACAACCAGCATCACTAAATGAACTATTTTGCCCCATCTCCTTATAGCCCTGCCTTGATTAAGGGGGGAGAGAAGAATCAGCCCTTTTTTAAAAGTTTATTAGCTCAGGTCACAAGTACAATAGTGGGGAAATTGTCAACCACCTTGGAAGTGTAGTTTGGGAACTAGGAAAAGTCCCTCTCTCACTTAAAAAATAGTATAGACATAGATGTATAAACATCCCTTTCTTCATTTTAATGTAAATTTCATTATAAGCATTTCATCCTTGGGGAAAATTTTGACTTCTGTGATCTTTGGTGAAAGAAATTCTAGACCTTCAAGAGGTTATGAAATTCTAGATCCATTAAGAGGTTATGAAGTTCTAGATCCATCAAAAGGTTATGAAGTTCTAGATCCATCAAGAGGTTATTTATCAATTACGAGGAAATAGGGAAAGTAAGTACTTAACAGAGAATAAGCAAGTCCCAGATGTCAGATTGAGAGAGAAGGTGATGGTATCCACAATAAGTGTTCACATACAGCTTTTTCTCCACTTTAAATCCTTTCTGAATTGATTTAGAATATTAATATATCAACAAATCTGCATATTTTTAGCATTTCTTTTCTTTAACTTCCACTTGGGAGTAAAGAGGATAAAATAACCAAACAACTCTTATGTGCTAGTACTATCAAAGCAGGCTGTGAAAAGAAGCAAACCACATAATGGAAAATTTAAGCTGGACTCACAATAAGCAGCTGAGAACAAAACTCCTGGGGCTTTGGTGACAAGTGAACCCAGGACTAAGGGGCCTACACATGTGCAGAGAAGTCATAGAATTCAAGTTAAGGTCCTTCATGGATGATCATAAAAGATCATTCTAAGCAAGTCCTGTGAATAAGAAACATTTTAGAAACAGCATTTTAAAGTATTATATATTTTATATTTTAAGTAAAATAGCTGGGCGCAGTGGCGCATGCCTGTAAATCCCAGCAGCTCAGGAAGCTGAGGCAGGAGGATCTCGAGTTCAAAGCCAGCCTCAGCAAAAGCAAGGCGCTCAGCAACTCAGTGAGACCCTGTCTCTAAATAAAATACAAAATAATATGGGGATGTGGTTCAGTGGTCGAGCACCCCTGAGTTCAATCCCGAGTACCCCCCCAAAATTAAAAAAATTAAAAAATAAAGTAGGTAAAATATCAGCAAGACTTGCCAAGCATATTTCAAACATTAAGAAATCAACCTTAAAAAGGTATTATCATTTAGTTAGAAAAAGGAATATGACATTATTTATAATAGCCAAGAGCTGGAAGTAACCCACATGTCCATACATGAATGAATAAAGTGTGAATACACACCTATTGTATAGATTAGTGATTTTCAGTGGCTATGAGGAGGTAAAAATGGGGAGTAATTAGTTCCTGGGTAATAGATTTCTTTGAGTAGTGATTAAAATATTCTGGAATCAGGGTGATGGTTGAACAACTTTGTGAATGAACTAAAAACCACTAGACTATCTCATAAATAAATAAACAGGCATTTTCAGCATTGCTGAAAGCTTTTGTAATTTCATAAAGAAGTCAGATTTTGGGTTGGGGTTGTAGCTTATTGGTAGAGGGCTTGCCTCGCATGCATGAAGCACTGGGTTCAATCCTCAGCACCACATAAAAATATAAATAAAATAAAGATATTGTGTCCATCTACAACTAAAAAATATTTTAAAAAAGGAAATCAGATATTTCTTGAACAGGGGATGTTAGATTCAATATTAAATCTGGTGGATTTTTTTCTTTCTACATTTTTTATTGGTGCATTATGGTTGTACATAATGATGGGATTTGTTGTTACATGTTCATACATGAAAGCTGGCAGATTTTGATTAGGGAGCAATTCCTGAGCATGACTGGTTTAGGCTTTTGGTGCATCCTTGAAGTCTTTCTCTCTACTGTAACCTTGTGGCCGCAGCCCTGAATTGCAGCATTAACAGGGTAGAATTGATTCTACCTTTTTTTTTTTTATTATTTTTTTAGCTGTAAGTGGACACAATAACTTTATTTTATTTATTTGTTTTTATGTGGTTCTGAGGATCAAACCCAGTGCCTCACGCATGCTAGACAAGTGCTCTACTACTTGTGAGCCCCAGCCTCAGCCCATTGAACCAATGCTTTTTTGAAAGCAGAAATTTATAGATACGATGATAATGCATATCCCAAATACAAGTATAAATACTGAACATGCTCTAGTCCCTGGAATTATCATACCTGTCTTTCTAAGAAATGGCACAATAGTACAACAATAATAAAGATAATTGGATTAATGATTCCCTCAAGGCTTTGAATGACATCAAAATTCTAGGACTACCTAAATTATATTTTATATTAACCAAAAATTGCTACTGTTCCTTTACAGGCCAATTCATACCACCTATATCATTCTCTTAATGATCAGCACAAAACTTTAAAGAGTCTTTCTTTGCTGTTTTTTGTGGGGAACTGAGTTTTCTTCTTTCTTTTCTCTTTTCAGAATGGAATGATTGTCCACATTCTTTCTGGGAAATGCATGGAAGCTGTGGTTCAGCAAAACAATAAAGATTTGTACTTGCGTCAGTGTGATGGAAAAGTCAGCCAGCTGTGGCGATTTGACCACATCCACCCTGTGGATGAACGATGAATGCCGGAAAGCAAGAGAACATGGGCAAGTCACAGTTCTGCCCCAAAGGAACTAAAGGAGTATGTTTATATCATAAAGCAGATTCTTTTGTACTTGTGCTTCTGATGCAGGAGAGAAAGTTTTGTGAATCAATATCAGAAGCCCCTTTTTTTCACCCCTTATTTCATTGACTGCTGGCTGTTTTTAAAAAAGAAAGAGTGGATTCATGGTCTTCATCACTGGAGATGATCAACGTATGTTACAGAAGATTCCTCCTCCTCCTCCCCCCCTCCTCCTCTTCTTCTTCTTCTTCTTTTTTTACTAAGTACATAACAATTGCTTTTTTGCTTTTATCCCTGACTGGGAAAGACCTGGGCAATGTATGTCTGGCAGTGTTGGGTACATCAATCCAATGGGTCAATTTCTTGGTCTTTAAGTAGTATTACCTTGGATTATCTGTGTGGCCAAATATAAAAAGTGAAAGAGCAAGAGGCTATAATTTTCTGACAGTCCAAAAACTTTGATTAGGTTTATAGGCATGTTCATTGGTTGAGCCACAGCTCAGAAGGAAGGAAAGGCACAGGGAGAAAGAGAGTAGGGTTGGAGAGAAGAAGGAAAGGAGGTTTGGCTCCACTCTCCAGCTCAATTTAATCAGTTGAAAAGAATCAGCATACCTGGGATAAAAATATTTTGATTTTAATGGGAATTTTCTTGAAACCTTCTACCTCCATTCACCTGCACTAACTCTTCTCTAGCTTGATTCACCACCACCAGATTACAGTTGCAATAGATTTCACTTTAGTCATTTTATGTTAGAAGGATCAGCACAGACTGAGCATTCTCATAACAAACGTGTTTTCATTTGATAAATTTCCTTGATGCCCTGCTATGGGATTTGTATTGACCTCACAAGAAACAATGAACTTTGCAAAGGGGCAAAACTCCTTGGAAGGGAAATGTGAGAGTCCGAGTCAAAATTCTTACAAGATGCTTACAAAATTCTTACAAACAGTGCTGGGTGTTAATGTCTGTGAGATCTGACAGGGCCACCTCTGAGACCCTAGTATTTGCTGGGACCCTTAAATGTGTTTGTGGGTTGAATTTTCAAAAGTTTGGGGACAATACACTTTAATTAGAGCAGAGATAAGGCTAACAAAGGAGAAATAGTTTTCCTTGCTGTGACCTAGTTTGGCTGTAAGAGTTACTAAGTGGGGTTAGTTCTGCTATTTGAGAAAGCACCATTTATGTGCATTTCTCTCCCAGATGGAGCTAGCTTTCCACATGGTAAGCTTAGAAACCTTCCCTTAAAGATCCTTTGGGATGTGTCAAATAAGAAAAACCAGGTAGGAAATGTTTCCAAATAATACCTATTATAACTATATATTCATTCTCTGCCTGCCAAGTCAATGGCCCACTGCATTTCTCCATCCTTAGAATGCATCTTAGACCTGTGCTAATATGGTAGACACTAGCCAAATATGGTGCATTTAATGGAAATCCATTAAAATTAGACAAAATTTTTAAAAAGTTCCTTGATGTACTGGCCACATTTCAAGAGCTCAAGAACCACACATGGCTAATGGCTATTGGAAATCACAGATATAGAACATTTCATCATCACAAACACTACTACTGAACAGCATTAGACACATCACCTTTCTAGAGAAGAGATTTTAACCACTGTCTTCTTGCTTCAGACCTGTCTCTATTTAAAACCATTTCCCCTAACATCCTAAGGCTGAGATGGAGCTAAAAATTGTCAGATGGCAACCTTGTAAAGGGTTTTAATGGTTTCAGAATAAAAATTAAATAAGACATCTATTTTTTTAAAGAATCTTATTGTTGTCATTGTGGGTATTTGAAGTTGCTGGGATAAATTAATATAATTAAATAAAAGGTTGAATTCAATTGTGTAAGTTGTATTTGGTAGTAATTAACAATAGGACCCAGATGGCTTATTGCTTAATTGGTTGAACAAAGCAAGAATGTGGTGTTTCTTGCTTCCTTAACCATCCCCATGATTTACGACTCTATTATAGAATGGCTGTCAACTATGTCCCTCGCTGGTACTTACAGACCCTTAATTTAAACAAAATAGATGCCTCTATTTAGTTATAAAAGACCCTTCTCTTTATACTGTAACTGAAATTAAAATTTCTTTCTTCTCTGTGGACCCAGTGTTCATTTTATCCACAGTGATCAATTTAAAAGCAGAGAACCTTAGTAATTGAGATATCTGATTCCCGATCTTGATTTTATTTGTCCACCTGAATTTTATGATTGTATTTTTTCTGGGGGGTGGGTACTGGGGACTGAACCCAGAGGCACTTTACCACTGAGCTACATCCCCAGTCGTTTTAACTTTTTATTTTGAGACAGGTTCTCACTAAGTTGCTGAGGGTCTCACTAAGTTGCTGAGGCTGGCCTCAAACTTGTCATCCTCCTGCCTCAGTCTCCTGAGTTGCTAGGTTTGCAGGTGTGCACCACTGTTCCCAGAGACTGGGAGATTAAATTTTGTCATTACGCTCACCAAGCTCATCATCATTCTTAAGTATCCCATTGGTGGGGGAGATGGTGAGAAATGTTCAGCCATCAGTCTAAAATCCCATATTCTTTATGCTATTTCACAACAGTAAAAACAGATGTTATCCTTGGAAGAGCCTTGATCAACTTCCTGTTTTGCCTCAGTGCCATAGATCCTACTGACAAACTCATAATTTCAACCCTATAGACATCAGAGTCTTCCAGGTCCCTGAGAATGATGCTGTCACTGCAATAGAACTTGGCGTTTTAGAGATCATGTTATCATGCACATCGTCAGGGAGTTTCATTTTCTACTAACAGGCCTTGAAAAAAGGCAGTTAGATAATAAGTGATCTATGGTCAGTCACCAAATCTGGACAAACAAAATACAAACAAGTCTCCTTTTTTTAAAAGGTTTATTTATTTCTGCTATCAAAGAACAGAATTATGACAGTGTAATTTAACAATCCTAATTGGCTTCATTTTAAATTTTAAAATCAGGTAACACTTCATTCCATAAAACAGAATCAGTTTTCCTATGAGCCAACCACACATCAAAAATAATTTGATGAGTTAACATCAGATTACTTATTTTGCTTACACAAAATAAGGACAAGGAAACTTCATTATTTCTTCAGTTGAAAATGGCTGTTCTCCTTCCAATCCAGATTTCTCTTGGAGGACCAGATGTGTCAGCTTGGTTTGATTGACTCCGTGTTTTGTTTTGTTTTTCCCCCTGGAATATTGTCTCTGTTGAAAAACTGGCTTCACAAAGAAGGTGGCAGCAGGAAAATTTCAGTATCCAAAGCTTAAAAATAAGTCTTGGGCAGTGTGGGGTTATTTTCTGTCTCTGGGGGGATCATCCAGTGTCCGAGGCCTGGGGACAGAGGCAAAGTCCCCAGCCGCACATCTAGGAGATGTCACTCTCAGTAGCGTCTGGTGTCCTGAACTGTGCTTGCCCAGGATGACAGTGGGTAAGGAGCAGCAGGTCACAGGGGCCCCCTGACCCTCTGGGAAACAGAGCTCTCCCTGGGCAGACCCCGGGGCTGAGGGTCAGCGGCCCGGGGAGAATCAACAACTGTCCCCGCCTGTGGTCCCTGAGGTCCTGGGGCAGGGATGCAGGAGGCAGCCAGTGTCACAAGACATCCCCGTCCCCAGCCAGGCCGGGCGCCTGGCTAAGCAAGGAGAAAGACGGTGTCCCTCCTCAGGGCCTGGCCTCTGCCCCTGGTCTCACTTCCTCCCCGGCATCCCCTGGAAGGGGAGGAAGTGACACCCAGGGGAAGGCCGGGAAGTGAGGCCACCATCACATTCAAGTTCAGGGTGCGACAGCTCAGTCTGCCCCCCAACAGGCCCCATACTCAGCTCCCCTTCATGGGCCACATCCCTTCTGAGTGTCATGCCCTGCCCTTTATAGGCACAAGGACCCAGAAGTTCCAGGGACACGTTCATGTTTAGGTCCTGGGATCCGGAAGTTCCTCAGGGATCCATGTTTAGGCTCCCGGACCTCAGGCACACGTCCATATTTAAGACCCAGGATCCGGAAGTTCTTGGGGTGCACGTCCATGTTTAAGCCCCCAGGTCCGGAAATTCCTCAGGCATCCATGTTTAGGCTCTGGGATCCAGAAATGCCTCAGGCGTCCATGTTTAGGCCATAGCATCCCAAGTCTCTTTTTTAAAAGCATACATAGTTTACAATAAGCATTCATAGTTTACATAATATGTAGAGTTATGAAAACATGGAACAAAACATTGACACAGGCTGCCTTACTGGACACAGCTCCACTTACTTCGCTATTTATGCTTGTTCTTTAAAAGCTCTTTTAAAGGTGCAACTTGTTGTCAAATACTATTGGCCAAATTCCAAAGCACCAACAGGTCCTTCCCTGATCATTTAAACACCTCAAGCACAATACCCAAGGAGGAGATATTTCCAGGATTCTAGAACCCTCTGGTATTTCTATATTAATAATAGTCCCTCCAATCTCCAATCTTCTTTCTGGTTTCAACTTCTTCTTCCATGAAATGCACTCTTTGGACATGGAAGTGTATCCTTCACATTATTTTACTATTATAAGGATTTTTGTTGGAGCAGTAGTCCTTTCCACACAGGTATGTGGGATGTTCATATCTCTGCACTATTACAACGAATAAACAGCTTGCCTGACTCTTTTGGCTTAGAACAGACTCACCATGGTCACTTCACCCCTAGAGGGATGGTTTTCAAATTCAGCCATTTAGGATGCATGTTTGAAAATTGAAGTTTTCCAACAACTCCCAAACTATTCAGCTACTCATAGTTTGCTGACATCCCAGGACCTACGACAGATGCTAAAATGGTAGTCTTCTCTCTCAGAAATAGGTTGGGGTCAACTCTGCCACAGCTTAGGCTTATAAAAGGCTCTGAACTTTTCAGTGAAGTGTAGCCTTTGCTTTTTTCAGAGACAATCATAAAGACACTGCTGATCACTCCTCAGGCACAGGCCAAGAGGAGCCCTGCTTAATGTCCTTTCTAAATAAGACCCAGGAGAGCCTGAGCAGCTGTCCTTAAAGCAAGGACTTCCCCCAGATGCACCAATGCTGACCTGTTCTCAAGGGGTAGGAGGTGGCAGTTAATGGGATTACCCACCCTCCAACTCCAGCCATGGGGCCAGAGTGGGAGCTGCTTTATTTCCCAGCAGAATTTCATCCCTTTCTCCCTGCTAATTGGCCCCAGAAGAATACCTGAGCCAAGCTGGGCCAATCAGCATAT